CGGAACCGCTTCCCACGCCCAGGCGAATCCGTTTTAGGCAGTGGGAAAATCCTTTTCCCCTCCGCGCTGGAGATGGAGCTGTCAGCGATGTGCTCAGCCCTGCCTGGCCCAGCGTGGGTCAATGCCACACGCTCCTCCTCTGCCTTACAGGAGGGCAGAAAGCCAGGAAACGCCGTGGCAGGGGTTTGCACCACGCTGGTACGCAGGGTTCTGTAGAGCACCGTTGCCCTCCACACTGCCTGATTTTCCTGCGCTCTGGTGAGGACCATCGGGCTGCTCTCATGCTGGAGAGGAGCTCGGTGCCTGGAGATCGCCAGGCTTTCCCTCCACCCCCGGACATTTTCAGTTTACAGATTTGGGCTCTGCAGTAAATGGGCGTCTTAGTTTACAGCAAGAGTTTACAAAGCTTGGGAGATACACAGTCTCCAGCTGACCCCACAAGTGTAAGGGCTGCTCTGCAGAAAGCCTTTCGCTGGCTGCACAGTCACGGCAGAGTACAGCCTCAGCTCACGCTGACCCAGCGCGGAGCAGCAGCGGAGAGAAAAATGTGGATGCCAGGGCTGCACTCGAGGGCTGAGAGCACCTACGCAGCCAAAGAGGGGTCAGAACTCTGGGAGCTGAGCTTCCCGTCCTTTCCTGGCCGGATCATCAGGCATCGCTGCCCCAGAGCAATAGGTGTAGGGGAGAGTGGGTGTGGAGGGGTAACACACTGGTTTGCCTCTGTGGGTTGAGTAGCACCAGGCATGCGCCAAGGCTTGGTGAGGAGCCACGGTCCCTGTCCCCCACCACGGGGTCCATCTGTGGGCAGAGGCCCTCCAGTCCCCCACTGCTGCTCCCTGGAGAAGCTCTCCGGTAGCGGTGGGGCAGGCCCGACGCAGGGAGCCCGGAGGGGAGCGGTGTGCCCCGTACCTGTCTGGCAGACTCGCCCCGTCCAGCCGGGCGGGCAGGCGCATCTGCCGGGGAAGGCGCAGCCCCCGCCGTTCTGGCACGGCACCCAGCAGAGAGCTGTGGGACCAAACACGAGCACAGCGTCACTGGGCAGCTCTGGGGGTCCTGAGCTCCCTCCCCTGCCACCGTGCACGTGTACGCACATGGTGCACACACACACCCCGCACCCCCCAAACCACACAGCAGCACCAGCCCAGGGCCGGGGTGCTCTGCACCAGCCCCGGAGTGGTGGGGTTGAGCTGACCGGGGTGCACAGGGCGCAGGGTGGGTGGGATGGACAGGACCTCGGTTTTGCAGCCTGGCAAGAGGGCAAGGCGCCTGCAGCCAGCACAGCCGGGAGGCAGGAGGGCGACGGGCAGCAGCAGGCCCTGGGAAGCCCCTGGTGCTGCGCTCTGAGCTCAGCTGGGGATGGACTAACCGCTGATGTGTTTTGCATTTGTTTTGTGCTGTACATCACGGTTGCCTCCTGAAAGCATTTCTCTTCCATTACAGCAGCTCTTCCATTACATTTATATGGAAAGGACTTACTCGTTTTATTTATCCTCTGGTAACTACAAAGTTAATAAGCGATCCCAAAGGAAAAAGGCCTGCGAGGCAGCAGAGAAAGGCTGGGAATTAATCAGAAATTGAACCACATTTGGTTCTGACGCCGAAAATTTAAATGCTTTCCTACAGGGAGAATCTGTCTGACAGGCAGAGTGCTGGTAAATGAGCGAGCTGCCTGCCAGGGCCTCTTCCAGGGACCTGAGCTACCCAGCCCATGGGGTTTTGGGGATGGGCAAGCGCTGGCACCGGGGTGGCACAGCAGCCTCTTACCTGTGTTGCAGCTGAGCGCGTGGCTGTTAGCTCTGCTCCAGCAAGGACAGCACGAGGCCGTGGGCTGGGGCAGCTGCCTGTACGCCCGCCTGTAGGCAACCCTGTAGATGGTCCTGCAACGCAAAGATGGGGCTGAGCCAGGTGACTGAGAATCTGCCCCGAGCCCCCCCATCCCACTCCCAAGCCAGTGGGTCAGTCCCCCTGCACTGGCACCTCCTGCCCCAGGGGCTGGGACCTCCTTCCGCACGGATCAAGGCAGGATTCCCCCCTTCCACAGCCCCCACTGGTCGCTGCCTCCCTGGGACGGATCCGGCTCCCTCTCCGGGACCTGGTCGGTGTTGCGGGCAGCTGCCCTCACCTGTAGGTGCTGCAGAGGCGGTGGCCCTGGCAGGTGGTGAGGTAGGGCTGGTAGACGGGCTGGACATGGGACTCGACGTAGGTGGCCGCCTGGCTCTGCGGTGCCGCGGCGCAGACTCTGCGGCTGCAGAGAGGGGAGCAGGTCAGACACCGGCTAAAAACCAACCCGCAGCTTCTCCCTCCAGGGCAAAGGGGCTCCGCTGATTTACACCAGCCCCGGACATGGCCTGACAGGCCCCCGCTACAGAGGGCTATTTAAAGGGCAGTGGCTAATTGCCCGAGTGACCCGGGAGGTTACTTCAAGCTCTTTCAGGGCAGCGACACAAAGCCTGAGCACTGCTCAAGCATGGACTCTTCCTCCCAAGCCCCTGCGCGAGGCCGCTGATGCCTCCCCGTTCACTCACCCCAGCACAGTCCCTCCGTCTCGGGAGAGCAGTCAGGGCACAGATTGAGGGGGGATTTACTCCAAGCAGTTCTCCTTCCTTTCATCACCTCCCTTCCCTTAAAACCACTCACTTTCTGGGTGCATTTTTCCTTTCCGAGACTTTTGCCATACCGAAATGGATGCCCCTCTGGTCACCAAGAAATTAATGATTTCACAGGAAGGGTCAGGCTCACTGCAAAAAGGTAGAGGCCAGAGGAAAGCCACCCCCCAGTCTTCCTAAGGTAACTGCGATCCAGTCAAAAACTTTCCCAAGGTTAACAGCCAAAGTGGTCTTGGTTAAAAACTCTTCTTTTTTCTACATTTTCCAGCTCAAGCAGGTCAGTCCCACTGAGGAACTCTACTTCTCTCAGCCTCCCAGCCCAATTAGAAACTAGAATAAAAAGCCTGGGAATTAGCATGGACATCAGATGGCTTCCATTAACTCCAGAAAACTCCTTTCAGCCTCACTGATTAATGCTATAGGAGATGCAATTTTTAAATGGCAATTGTTTGCTTGGCAAAATTTAGAATAAAACTATAGCTGCAGCCTGTGCGTGCGAGCGAGGAATTCAGCCTGCGGTTTTAGTCACAACCAGAATGCAAAAGGTTTAACGCTAGAGGAGAGTATTTCAATGTAAAAACAAACTTTGTAGAAAATGTGAGCTGTATCTGGGGGGCGGGAGTTGAGCTCGAGCTCCTTTTGGCTGGGGAAGAAACTGGGGCAGCGAGGTCTGGGCTTCCTCTGACCCAGCGGGAGCTGAGCTGTGCTGGGATCCAGGGAGCCATGTCGGGCCCATTTCCTGGAAAGGGAAGGGGAATTGCTGGAGCTGCCACTCCCGGGCTTGCAGGACCACAACTGCAGCCACTGCAGCATCCCAGGGCACAGCAGGCAACAACCCACCAGGGCTTTCCATGCCTGTGTCCCCTGGATGGTGCATCCTCTCAGGGCTGGGAGGCTGCATCCTCCTTTGATGGCTCATTTGCAAGGCTTGACGGGCAAGTGATAGCAAGATTGCACGCATATTGTTGTGCAAGGATGTGCTTGAATGAGACAATAATAATTCATGAACAGCTCAGGGCCTGATTAGCTTTTGACTCACCCAGAGAAAAAGCCAAGAGTGTTTTTGTGTCCCCTGCATGGAGCTAAACGGAGCAGGGGCATTTTCTCTGAGAGGCTTTTTTGCTTCAGTAACAAAGCAAACACCAGGGAAGGGCTGCCGAGCCCCAGTTGCCCCAGGAC